ATTGAAAATACCAAAATTGTTTATTAGGAGCTTCAAGAAAAGACTACTGAGTATACTTCCTATGAGTTTTATTGCATTTGGAGGGGTAGAGAACACAAAAATAATTCAAATTGTTTATAAAATTGTTATTAAAAATAGGGAATTTTTAAATTTACAATCATGCAAATATTTTCTTTTAAAAGAGTGAACAATTTTGTGTAATCAGTGTAAATTTTATTAATTTATGGTAAACGACTTTTGAGTTATTAATTTTTTTTAAAGTTTGTAATATTTTGTTAATGCAAAAAAATAACAAAAATTTCAAAAAACGATTAAAAGTGTTTTATTGTTTTGTTGTGAACTACAGAGTTTCATAAAAGTTTTAATATTTTAGAAAATCATTGAAATTTTTTTAACACAGTTGAGCTGGCCTGACCCAGTCATTTTGCGAATTTTAATTTTTACGAATTTTCTGTTTTTTATTTCGCTTAATGTTATTTTTTGCAAATATTTGCAAAAAATTACAAAGCGGTCAAATGACATTTGAGCAAAAATGTATTAAATATTTAATTAATACTTTTAACATAATAGCATATATTGCAAATCTCTATAAATATTTTAATTTCTGCTTGTATTTTTTTAGGTACTTACAAAAATTATAATATTTTACATAAACTTACGTTTTTCAAAGTTGCAGTTTATATAGACAGGTCGAAAAATATTTCTCACGTCGATTCGATAGCCGCGGTCGTTAAGCGTTTAGATAGATAGGTCATAGGTGCGGGGTTCGATTCCCATAGGGTACAAGTTTTAATTTAATTCCTCCAGTTTAATTTAGAATGTTTGTATGTTTGGAGTGTGCTAAGAATATAATGTTACTAAAGGTCATAAGAATCTTTTATTATTTTTTCCACAAATTTTTTTTTAAAACTATGTTTTCAATCGGATACAATGGGAAAGAACTTTTTGTTATTTTTCGATACAGGATTTGATAGAATTTAAATCAAAAAATCTTATTGGATTGGAAACAATTTTTAATAATCAATTTTGATAGAATTTGATAGGACTTTCTTCGAAATCAGTGGGACAACGCATGGGACAATTTTCGGATAGACAAAGTATTGATTTGGATAGACTTTCTATTAAAATTATGTGATAGAAACTGATTGTAATTGTTGAAAATTTTTGATTCAGAAACAGGATTGAAATGGAAAGAAATTTTTTTCTTTCCATTTCTATCAAATTTTTTAAACAGGGAGCAAACTTGTGACCACTTTAAACTTCCTCCTGATCAGTTGTGATAGATTTCTGACGAGATCCATCCAGAATCGTAAGAAAACTGGATTAAAGTGGTCAGGCGGCCTGACCATTTGTCTGACCATTCCTGATTTTATTTTTAGTAGGGTAGAACGTTTCATGTCTGCAAAATAATGTTCCAAAAACGTTCCATTGCTTTTAAAACGTTTTAGAACCATATAACGTTTTTGGGACATTATTTAGCAGACATTAAACGTTCTAAAAACGTTTTTGGAACGTTTTTAAAACAATGATGTTTTTTTGCCCACTGGGTAATTATTGATATTTGGCTCTATAAAAGTTGAAGTGTCGTTTTGGCGGATACATCTTTGTTACAGCCCACACTTCAATTAATTTAAACAATACAAATGAAACATATAGGGTCAGTCAGGGTATATGTGGACAAGAGGTGTTGGAGCTTAATTTACATCAAATTAAAAATTAAGTTTGACGTCAATATTTCAACCTCAGATCACCTACAAGAGATAAAAATATGATTTTGTCCGGATTAACCACAACTGACCCTAGTTTTAAAAATTCATGATTTTAATAATGAAAGTAACTGATTAATTAATTAACTGTATAGTTATTATCATTAAAAGTAACTGCCATTAAAAGTCAAAAGAAATAATTTAAATAATATAATTTATTTATTTTGTCAATAAAAATTATTATTATTACTACAGTCAGTATCACTAATTTAATCTACAGAAACTATTGCTTTTTCAGTAAAACTAAATGGTTTTAATAATAAAAACAGTTAATTAAAATAATCAAATAAACAGCTTGAATCATTAAAAACGACTGATTTTTTCAGTTTTCGTGACTGATTCAATCTGTAACCGCAGTTGACTGATTTGAATAAGTCAAACATAATGGTCCGCCAGTGAACGGGTCTGGACTGATTCAATCTAAGAGCCCTGTAAAAAAAAAAGTATTGGGAGGTACGGGATTCCGTATTGCAAGTGCCAACCTGCCAATGCGGTATTCGCGAAATACCGCATTGGGTGTCGTGGTGAATACGGAAATCAAGGGGTCCCACCCTGCTTAAAATTCTTGTACAAGATCTTATACATGATCATGTACAAGATCTTGTTCAAGAATTTGTACTAGATCTTATACTGGTTCAGATACAAGAAAATGTACACAGAATTGAAACAAGTTCTTGTATCTGAACTTGTACAATAGAATAATCTGGTACAAGAAATTGTACTTGATCTTGTACAATTTTGATTTAAAAATTTTTTTTGAATTATTAAAAAAGTTATTTATTAAAAATTTAAATTTTAATAACTTACTATAGTATGTAAGACTTGTCACTTGTAATGCCTAAAAACTACTGCGCAGCTGTAAAGGCTTAAGAAAACTACTGCGCAGCTCATAAAGTTTTCATTTTTTGATACACATAGACATGTACGAGAACACATACAAGAACTTGTACAAGTACTTGTACACGAACTTGTCACCGTTTTCGACTCAAAACAATTTCTAAATATTTGAAAAATGTGTACAAGATCATGTACATTTTCTTGTACCAGATTATTTTCTTGTACTAGATCTTGTACAAGTTCAGATACAAGAACTTGTTTCAATTCTGTGTACATTTTCTTGCATCTGAACTTGTATAAGATCTAGTACAATTTTTTGAACAAGATCTTGTACAGGATCATGTATAAGATCTTGTACAAGAATTTTAAGCAGGGCAATGCGGTGCAAGTTTTAAGCTTTAAAAAAATCGAAAATACGTGACAGGAGGAAATAATTAGTGTCAGTGCAGAAATATGCAAGTTAAAGGAATGAGAAAATAATAATAGTGAGTGTAAAAATGAAACTTTAAGAAAAAAAGGTAAGTTGAACTGTCAAATATGAGTCCAATGCGGCGTAGGCTGCTTTCAATGCGGTACACAATCGGTACATAGTGCAAGTCGCCAGTAGAGGGCAGAAGCAAGCAGAGCAAATCGAGCGAACACAGTGGCCCAGCTGACATATGATTTGCATTACATTACTTTCCAATTTTTTATTTTATAACCACGTTTCTGCATGAATCTAAACAATATTTTCGATTATTGTAATTTAGAAGATGCTTACCAATTGTACGTTGGCAGATTTAGTGAAAAGTGTCTGTGTACGGAGACAAATGTGTTAGAAAATGTTTGTTTACCTATTTCACGCCATTCAAACCAGTCAAAGTTGCTTTTGCTGTGGCGCATTGAAATCAGCCTATGCCGCATTGGGCCCATATTTGACAGTTCAACTTACCTTTTTTTCTTAAAATTTCATTTTTACACTCACTATTATTGTTTTCTCATTCCTTTAACTCGCATATTTCTCCACTGACACTAATTATTTCCTCCTGTCACGCATTTTCGTTTTTTTAAAGCTTAAAACTGGCACCGCATTGGGACCCCTTGATTTCCGTATTCACCACGACACCCAATGCGGTAATTCGCGAATACCGCATTGGCAGGTTGGCACTTGCAATACGGAATCCCGTACCTCCCAATACTTTTTTTTTTACGTGTAGGGCAAATAAATCGGTTTAGAAATAGTGTACAGTAAAAATATTATTTTCATGTTGCATTCTTTGTAAATAGGACCCTCTGCTCGCAAAAAGTGTTTTGACTTTAAGGGGACAGTACAACCTAAAAAAGAAAATTGTCAAATGCAATTTTTTTAAGAATAAAAAGAGATATCTAAATGAAACTTTGCACACACATTTTCACAACATAATATTTTACAAAAAATTTTTTTTTTAATTTTGTGGCATGTTTTCTGGTTTTTGCTGATTTTTGAAAAAAAACACCAAAAAATCGCGATGACGTGATTTTGGCTCACTGGAAAGTCTAAAAAAAGTGGGTTTTAATCAGTATCGAAACTACTACAGAGTGAATTAAAAGAAACATTTTCTGTCAAAAAATAACAAAATGGCTGCGTTTTTTAAAATGTAGTCGATTTTTGGGGCCAAAAAAACCCTTGTAAATCGTAAAATTTATTATCGATCCGTAGTTCATTCTATAGTGGTTTCGATGATAATTAAAACCCGCTTTTTTCTATTTTTTAGACGTTCCAGTAAGCCAAATCACGCCCGCCACTCATTAAATTTTTTTTTATTTTGGTTATACTGTCTCCTTAAACTGACGGCCATAGACTTAAAATTTAGATAAAAAAAATATATATATATATATTTAAATGTCAAGTGGCGGTTTTTGAAATTTCAAAATGTCGGAGTCAATATGATATGTTTAAAATTAATATAATTTTTATGAAATTCGTTAGTCGGAGATTTTTTGGGTCAGTAATTTATATGATTCGTAATCATATAAATTTAAAATGTTCGATTCAAATATAACTCTCATATTTATGACTCTGGGGTTTTTAGGATCACCAATTACTAATTTTTCAAAACAAAAAATTCCTTTTTTCATTTTCCCACAATGAATCATGTCTTTTTCTGCCTGAAGAGTAGATAATTGAAAATGAGTTTTTTAGATGTTTAATTGATTATCTCTACGTGGCACATCTCGAAAACAATACTAAATACTAGTATTTAATCATTTATAAATTTCAAAAATTTTAAACAAGTCCAAAAGTTGAAGTGCAATGGCAGGTACTAAAATTCGAAGACGGGTTCGACAGCTAGTATTATTAAAAATTAGTGTCTTTGCAGCACTTTTGACAGAAAAGTAAGTACATAGTCGGTTGAGGTAAGAAATGGAAAATTCATATTCACAGACTTCCAATTGTTTTATTACAAAGATTACAGATTATTAAAAATTTTATTGCAAAATCCTTTTGAATTTTAGAAAATGGAATTGCAGAAAGCAATGCAATATATTGTAGGTATATAAAATATAAAAAATGATAGGTGAAACTCTGTTGATTTCTCTTCAATTTTTAAGTGTCTCCAACTGAAAATGGTGAGCATCTTTATTCCAAAGGTCAACTAAAATACTAGAAACTTGAGGATCGGGGAATCTATCTGTCCATGATTTTATAAAACCATCAAATGTAGCGTCGTAAACTTTTAGATCAATTTTGGAATCATCTTTTTCTGAAAAAATAATTTTTTATAAATTATCCTTGTTGATATAGAAAGGAATAGATGATTCATTTATTAGTATACTTACTGTCAAAACATGTGTTTGACTGGACAAAAATTTTCCTCGGTTGCTTATTAGCGAGAACAATGTCTCTCCATTTCGCCCAAGGATGAGCACCAGTCTCAGGTACTTCACTGTACTTGTCGTACATTTTCTTCGCCTCGTCAAAATCTCCAGTACTTTTATAAATCTGAAGTTTCTTGAGAAATTCACTAATGGCTCTCCTTCCTACCGTATTGAGTTTACTTTTGTCAACTGTTAAACTCAAATTCTTTCCTGATTCTGTTTCCTCAATGGTTAAGAAGTTCTCTCCAGCCTCGAGGCAAACCCGCATGAGGACGTATCGTGCCTGGGAGTGCGCTTGCAGCCAAGTTTTTGTCGAAGGCTCGTACATCTCGAGAGCTTTGGCGCAGCCAGCCCAAATCAATGACAGCCAATTCACGTAAATTATTTCATCAGCATTGTTCTCCGAGTAGCCAAAAATACTCACAACGTCTTTGTCCAAACTGAGGAAAAGTCCGACTGCTTCGGCTCTGCATTCTTCGTAGCTGGAACCAATAGAACCAAACTTGGAATCATAGGTTTCGCCACTCTGGTAAACCTTGTCAATCTTCTTTCCCGTAAGAGGATTCATGACCTTATTTGTGTCAAAATTATAAGTACCGTCATTATATTTCTTCAAAAGTTTTCCACTCCCATGTCCAAGCAATTCGTGGAGACCAACTTGAACTTCAAAACTCGCGACTCGATGTTTATGCATCAGCGCCTGGTCCTCGTCAGATAGGAACATCATGACGTCTTGCTTCATACTCGCGGGAATTACGTTTCCTAAGGAGACGTTTTTAAATCCTTCGGATTGCTTGATTTCATCATAGTTTGGAATATTTATCCCCGCTGGGATTCCCGAGCCGCCGAACGTTAAAACATCCAGGGAGGTAAAATCAGGCGTGAGAAATACATCCTTTTCGAAATCTCCACCCCACGGTAACCTCGGTAAAAACTGTTCTGCTCTAGCTACTAATTCGGAGAATTTTTTCGACATTTCTTTATTAACCATCGCCACGAAGCCCTCGAACTCTCCGCGTTGACCAGCTGGATCTCTGTAAGTCTCGATAAAGCCAATGTACGTTTCTATAACTGGAGACTTATCTATCACCCAAAATCGAGAACCATCTTTGTGCTCGTTGAGAGAGCCACCTCTGAAATGATTGATGTATCTTTGCAGCATGTTTTTCTGCCTATCATTTGCAGCATATTCCTTGGCTTTATCCAGATTCTTCACCACGATCTCTAACAACTGACTATAATCTCCTCTTGTAATTTCGAAAACTGAATCTGTTGACAACATTCACACTTTATTGTATTTATTGTACTTCAATACTCTGTTAGTGTACGTAAACACTGGGTAACATCGACGTAACTCACGAAAACAAATAGAAAATATGCTTATTTAAAATTTTAAAATGATAGTTTTTTGAAGGCTATGTTACAATTTTTAATATTTATTATTTTTAAAGTCCAAACAAATTGCAAAAATATAAGTTACTGAATAAAATTCTTTTATTAAATCTAAATTAACTTTAAATAATAAAAATTCTTTATTTGGCATTTTATATTGGCTTAAAATAAATGACAAAATTTTTAAAGATTAACCTAAAAAATATTTCAGATGAATAACGCTTTTTCTATTCTTCTTCGTGAGTTACGTGTTTTATAATTTCTCTCGTGAATAATGTGTTTTTATTTAGGAGCCATCGAAATAAGTTTAGTGGGCGAAACAGAAATGAGAATAAAAGTTGAATGACTGGTTTACAGCCATATTCATTAGAATATTACGCGAGCTTCGATTAAGTTCAACCCACACTTTATGACCCCTCTCAGGTTCTTTTTGATATTAGTTTAGTGATTAAAACTAATAATCATTATAAGATGAAACTCAAATTATATGCTTTTTAAAATTTTTTCTAGGTTAATGTACATATTTTCATTAAAATTAACTTCTCTATAAGTCATTTAACACTGTAATTATACAAAAGTAAATTAAAGAATAAACAATTTCCTGTAAAAATAAAAAAAGAAGCTCCTCACAATCAGTCTATTACCACTACAAAAATATGGTCATTAAACTTAGAAATTAATCAGGACAATTTGAAAATGAATTTTAACAGTTTTTTCAATTTGAAATTGTTCAAAATTAAACCACCTTAAACCTTATTATGGTATTCAGATAAGGCTCAGAAAAAAAAGATAATACGAAATAAGTTAAATCTAATGTCAAATTTTAGTCAATTTTTCATTAAATTTGAACTTTCAGTGACCATATTTCTGTAATTTTTAAAATTAGGAATTTTAAAAATAATAGAATTTAAAAATTTTCTAATTAAAATTTTTATTGAAAACATTAAAAAAAATTCAATTTTGGAAAAATTACAAATAATTGCAGAAATTCAATTATTTTCAACAAAATAAAATTCTTCTTATAAAATTCAACGATGTTCAAAATTTGAAAAAAATTCTCGTAAAAATCCCAATTACACGGAAAAGTTTTTGGGCGAGCAGACGTCTCTCACTCGCCTCCCACAGAAAAGGTTTTCTGCTTTCTCTCTAAAGAGAGCTCTGATGCCCCACAAGAGAGCTCTGACGCCCCACAGTAGGAAAGCAGCAGTCTCTGTGGGTGAAATGAGCTACCAAAATGGGGCTGTCACTTTACCATAGGTACTGGTCACTCAGCGCCACCACAACAGGTACAGCGACTCGCCCAAGAACTTTTCCGTGTATCTTTATAAATAACAAAATTCTTCTCTAAAATTCAATTATTTTCATAAATGTCAAAAAAATTCTTGTCCTAAATTCAATTATTTTCAAAAATTTTTCTAATTTCAATGATTTTCAATATCTAAGATTTTAATAAAATTTCCCAAAACGAATTTAATTATTTTTAAAAAAATTTAATAAAATTGTATGTAAACATTTGATTATTTTCATAAATAATAAATTTGTTTAAGGAATTTAATTATTTTCATAAAAAATAATTTTAAATTCTAGAAAAAAGTTATTGAATTAAAATGATGAAAATAATTTTGATGAAGTTACAGTAACAATATTCTTATAATATAAAATAATGATTTTATCTCTCGGTCATCTTTAATTATTAGAAAACATGAAGAAATCGATCACTCAGAGTCGAAGACTCGGAGCAATCGATATCTTCATGTTTTATAACAAATACTTTTATAAGTTGTTTAATTTAAAAAAGGTTTGAATTTGAAATTTTTGAATGTCTTAATTCCTGTGGAAAATCCTGTTCCAAAAATAAGATTAAAAATAGGAATTGTGCAAATATTTTTCTTCTTTTTCTAAAACAAAATATTAATTTTGTTAAAAAAATTGTGATTCATAAACAAAAATAATGCAAAATAAATAAATTTTCTATTTCTTAATCACAGTTGTTTAACAATTTTCTAACTTTTCTTAGAAGTAAAGAACAAAAATCTGCATAATTTCAATTTGACAAAACAATATTTAACAAAGTTTTAGTCTTTTAATGAAAAGAAGTGAAAAAAATTCTGATGATTTCTATTTGTCATTGCAATTTTAAATTAATTATAAAATAAAAATAATTATAACATAATAATATAATATACAATCTATCTAAAGTTAACAAAAAACAAAAGTATACACAAAAGACAACTTCAGAGTAATTTTAGAGTGTGAGAGACAAGAAAAATGAAAGAATGAATACGAAGATTATTATAGTTAATTTCATCTCAAAATGATCATGGAGCATCACCAAACTCATAAAAAAAGAACGTGAGAGGGATCATCCGTCATAAAGTTTGAGTTGAACTTAGGCGAAACTCACCGTGCATTATCATTAACGTGAAAGAAACTTACTTTTGAAAGTTTTTGGCTCTGAAGTTATTTTAGAATCACTGCTCGTTTCTATGGAAGCTAATCTTATTTCATAATTAGTAATTCCATTTTTTATCGTTTTAAAGCATCTGGTATTATAAGATTCTAATCCTTTGTGCTGCATAAACTCATTGATTAAATCTGCATCTTCCATTGTGCAATTGGAGGAAAAGTAAGTCGTGATCCCCTTGTCTCCCAGACCCAAGGTCTTTAATTTTCCTGCTACTGAAAATATCACACCTTTTATTGTATTTAAAATGGATTGTAAGTTTTTGGTTTCCTGCTTATAGGCAACTGAACATTTAATCAAATCTTCGAATTTCTCCTCTGACATGTTTGGAATTATTTTACTATCGCCAAAAGACTTGTAATTGCCTGCATTCGAGAAGAAGCCGTTCGCAAAAACCAAAAATGCCTGAAAGTATCAAACAAGATGAATAAAGAAATTTACAGCAAAACTGGGAAAAAAGTTTTGATTCGTAAAACCCTCACAGTAAATTCATCTTCAGTAACACCAGCAGCCAGAGCCGACGTCTTTAGACTATCAATTGGCTCCGCCAAGAAAACCTTATGGAGAAGAGCAAAAAGCAGTGGCGACTCTGGAGAAGTTTGAATAAACGTAATGAGACTCCCATTCCAGGCCGCTTGACTTAAGTAGTGCGCGTAGAGTTTCTCTCTAGCAGTTAAGGCATTAAATGCATTTTTACATTCCAAGTAAACCACTGGTTGATTGTTTGGTAAGGTGTATAAAGAAGTATTGCAACTCATTGTTTTATAGTTTCGAATATTACTGTAAACAAAACAAATATAATGTTACTTTTATTACCAAATTTCTAATTCTAAATATTTACTGTGAAATTAAAAATGGTTAAGAGTAACTATGACTTGAGTTTTTAAAACTCATTACCTTATTTTTATTCAGTTCTGTTTACCTACAAAATAATCACATAACTAAACTGCAAGTCAGTGGATGATAGATACATAACCTCTAATATGACTCCTGTAAAAAAAATTTTCTGTAGATTTACAGTTTTGTTAATAATTTTATAGAAAATTGTAAAATAACGTCTTTAAAAGTAGCGAATTTAAAATCCCTTCTGTAATATTAATACTTTTAATGTGTCAATTTTACAATTTTCTGTAAATTTACTACTCTGAAAGTAGGTAATATTATTTTTGTCTTTTTATTACCTACTTTCAGAGTGGTAAATTTACAGAAAATTGTAAAATTGACGCATTATTTTACAGAAGGAATTTTAAATTCACTACTTTTAAAGACGTTATTTTACAAGTTTCTATAAAATTCTAAACAAAACTGTAAATCTACAGAAAATTTTTTTCTACAGTGCAGAATTGTTTCTGCAAATGGTTATGGAATTTTACCATTTTAGTACTAATTGATACATTTATTTTAATTGCAATTGTAAATATTACATCAATTTTTTCTACATTTGTGTATCAAAAAATATGATTAACCTAACCTAAATTTTCTAAACGAAGAAAGTAAAGGTATATATAAAAACGATAAAAGAATTAAAATAAAGATTCAAAATTTGTAATGTAATTTCGCGTTTTTCATGCTTAAAATGAATATGCAACACACCTTAAATTATTTTCTAAATTTTTTAAATTTCTTTTGAGTATTTGCAAAGATAAAGAAGACTTTACAACTATTGTTTGAATTTTGACAGATCTAACAAGAAAATCTGCCTTACTACAGAATTTAAGCATTATTCAGACTAATTCCACTAATTGTTTTTCCTTACTTTATGTGTACGTATGCACTTGTCACCGGAGGCTGTGGCACATACGAAAAATATCATCTCATCGTTTTTAACATTAAAAATAATATAGCATAATATTTAACTTTTTCTCACTGAACCTATGAAACTATTACTATTTTTTAACATTATTTTAATTATAATAAAAGCGATAAAAATATTTTATTACCTGCAATTAATTCAAGAAATTTAAATTAACTGGACATTAATTAAAAATATTTAACAAAGCTGGATATAATGGTGTGGCCACACCTCGCAACAATTTACCTGAGTCGTGGTGGGCACAGTAAAGGCCTAAGCACAATAGGTTCGCGAAAGTCAGGGAACAGTCCCATGACAGCGTTTTGCGTTGCGTTTCGTAACTAGGCCATGAGTGTGAGAGAGATACAGATATATGTTTGCTCTATTTGCACTCATTGCCTAGTTACAAAACGCAACGCAAAACGCTACCATGGGACTCCAGCCTCAGGCTGGAGTCCCATGACAGCGTTTTTCGTTGCGTTTCGTAACTAGGCCATGAGTGTGAGAGAGTTACAGATATATGTTTGCTCTATTTGCACTGATTGCCTAGTTACAAAACGCAACGCAAAACGGTACCATGGGACTCCAGCCTCATTCGCGAACGCAAAGCATGAGTTAGAAAAGGACAGAGATATATTTGTGTCCTTGTCTATCTCATGCGTCTCTTTCGCGAACGACTTTCACGAACCTATTGTGCGTTGGACTTAAGGCTGCGGTTACACCTCTGCAGGCAGCCTGCCTGCCTGCAGGTTGTCATGGTAACGTACAAGAGTAAGAGAGTCAGTGACTTCAAACTTCTCCCTTACTCTCGTTGCTCCTGCCTGCGCAGGCAGGCAGCCTGCAGAGGTGTAACCGCAGCCTTAAATCGCGGCTACACCTCTGGCTCTGCCGCCTGTCAGGGTGGAGTCCCATGACAGCGTTTTGCGTTGCGTCGTAATAAGAGAGAAAAAGTCGCAAATATTGGGATCTGAAATCACGTGAAACTGACCCACCCCTTAGCCTTTTTGTGGTAACCATCTTGGATTTTATCTTTTTCTTGAACGTATATCAGAAAGAGACGAAACGAAAGATGGCTACCACAACAAGGCTCTCACTAGATGGCGTATCGTAGTATTTCAGATCCCAATACGTTTGCTGCATTCTCTCTTAGGCTGGAGTCCCATGGCAGCGTTTTGCGTTGCGTTTTGTAACTAGGCCATGAGTGTGAGAGAGATGAAGATATATGTTTGCTATATTTGCACTCATAACCTAGTTACAAAACGCAACGCAAAACGCTGCCATGGGACTCCAGCCTTATTACAACGCAAAACGCTGCCATGGGACTGCGGCCTTATTGTTACGAGCGGTACTATGGGTACTGTGCAAATTCACTCGTATTTGATTCGCGGATTCATTCTTAGTAATATCCCTGAAAAGGGACCGGGAAATTTCAAATAAATACAGAAGTAATTCCGTTAAAACGGAGGGAAAAACTCTTACGAATAGGAGGAACCAATTAATGATTAATATTTATATTAATCAATTATTAGTTCTACTTGCTTCGTGAGGAAACCCTTTTAGTTTATTATAAAAGTCAACTTTACAAAATGCAACCTTTCGGTTCGAGATTAGTCTTAATACTAAAGAGCAACGAGAGGAGATCTGCGACTCCGCTCTAAGTACATAATATTGTTCACTGCGCAAGTCCTGAGTGACGTACGTTCATCACCAATTCACTGTACATTTCTATACACTTCTCTTCTCATCAACTGTACATTTTACACTCATACAGTCATACTCATTGTTTCTAAAAGTCATACATTTATCAGACATTACAAATCAAATATATTACATACTGTCTTATTCTATTTCATTAATTAATAACAATTATTGTATTTTATACACTAATAAGTTTTATAGTTTATTTACACTTAATAGTTTAAACATTAATTAATATTTATGAATATGATTACACATATTATTAACAAATTATTAACATTAGTTATGAATAAAGGAATGAAACGCATTTTGCCGAATTAATGCGTATTTCAAAACTTCTTTGTCAAAGGAAAAGATATTCGATACTTATTTAGATTTTGTTTATATGAAGTATTCCTAAGTGGAAATACCAAGAAGACTTTAGGGAAATATAATAGCTTATTTTACGAGTTAATTCTCGGAGCAGATAAAGAGGTTTTTGTGTATATATTTTCCAATATTTATTCTATTTAATAAATTGAAAGACGATTCGTTTTATAATTCGAAATCTAAAAAGCTGTGCCATCTCTCACGATTTAGAATTAACATTTTACTTAAAATTATTAATTTATATTTAAATTAATTAAAAGAAATCTCATCGATATATCGAGATTCGATTTATCGATTATCAGTAGAGCGAGATAAACGTCGCTCGTTACATTATGTTGCAAACTGCTCCACGATTTTGTTTGAAAGTAGTGTTTGAAATATTCAAAATATTTAGGATAATGTTATATTATTGAACATGCTGAAACGAATTTTAATTAAAAAGCTTCCGTTTAGATACAGGAGAAAGACTTTTCGTTCTTTTTCAAATGAAGTAAAATATGATGGATCACGGGAAATTGAACGAATACGAAACTTTGGAATTTTAGCTCATATTGATGCCGGTAAATAATTAAATTACATTTAAACCCTTATTTATTATAAAGGAGTAGTAGACAATGTGGTGTAGAATAATTTATGTTCGTCTACCTGTCAGCTATTTGTAAATTGTTTATCGAATTTTAATTAATACTACTACCCATTTTTCTTTTGAAAGCTTTAAGGTTAGGTATACTTCTATTATACTTAATATCCTTAATATAAAATACAGGCATCACAGTTGGTCCCCTTTTGTCCCCTTATTTCAATTTTATCACCTTTTTCGCCTTTCTTGACGATTTGTCACTTTTTCTCACCTTTTTCTAAAAATCAATAAACAAGTTTTTCTTTTTTTGAAATTTTTTTCAAAGTGTAATCATAAAATATTTATTTATACTCAATATTATAAAATTCAGTGCGTTTTATTTCTGGTTTAGATTATTAACACCACAACATAATATAAACATGTTTTTTTATGTCAATGATTTAAATAATACCTATAGAAATCGTAAAGAATTTTATAAATTATAAGGTAGTTCATTCAACATAATGCAGACCTCTAGGAAAAAAATTAATTAACATTCAAATAATTAAAATATTAACAATAGATGGAATATATATCAATTAGTACAAGTCAGGTTGATAATAAAAAACACATGTCTTATTTTAACATTTCGACAGTCACAGGCGTCCTCTTCAGAAACTAAAAAATTTTTTTTTATTTATATTTCAATTAAAAATTATAAAAGAAAAAAAAACACAAATAAAATATAAAATAATTAAATAATAAAAATTACAAATTAATACAATATAATTATTACCGAAAAAAAGACGTCACTAACACTTATCAATTAATACTTATAGTCGGACATCACTTATTAAACTAACGCAAAGAGAAAATTGAGAAAATTACAATATGATTTTGTGTATTATTGCAAGTTCATGACCCGCGTATCGAATGCTAATGAGATTTCTTATAAAAGTAAACACACTGATAGAGAATGATCTATGAAATATATAATTAACTAGCTGTCGTACCCGTCTTTAACGTGATTTAGTTTCAACCAATACATTTAACAGTATGACTACAAAACTAAAAAACCAGGAAATAGGCGGAAATTTTATTTGACAAAAAAAATAATAATTAGTAAATAGTTATAATTAGTTAATATTACTATTTGAATCAGTGACTGACTTTTTATTATCAAATTAGTTATTTTTAACCAATTCAAATGCAGAGAACAATATTTGTCAATTTGTAGTACTTTATTTAATGTCTTAAAAAGTAATTCAAAATTTTCTCCAGTTTTTGGAGTTATAGTAGAGTTTAATTCGAACTAATTGTATCGCAAGTAGACCCTACGTTACGACTGCTAAAATCTAAAATAAGACGTAAGTTAGTAGTAGGGCTTAAATTTTAACTCGGGACTGTTTTCATAAATATTACATCAATAAAAATTAAAGTAAGAAGCAATTTTTTAAAAGAGAATTAATGCAATAAAACTTTTTTTAATTTGATAAGAAAATTCCCGGTTTGTAACATTACCAGTTTTTCTCGATCAGATTAAATTCCCGAATATATCCCACTTTTCATGGTTGGTAGACACCCCAGGGTGTCTAGCGAACCGGGAAATCGGGAAAAACCCGGGAATTTGGTTCGACCTCAAAAAACCGGGAAAACCCCGGGAATTTTCTATTTATAGGGTATTTTTTGAATTATGTATATAAAAAATAATAATTTTTTTCAAAGCGTAATATAATAACACGGTCACAGCTCAAATCGTCAAGGGTAATTTGATAGTATGAAGCAGTAGTAAAAATAATAACTTAAATTTTATTTAAAACTAACTTTAGTACACGTTATATTATAAAAGTTAAAGGATTTGTACTATTATTATTCTTATATAACAATTTATAGGTATACAATACGTAACAAATTTTATAAGAAGAAATTAAGAATCTTCTTTGATATAGGAAAGGCAAAGATTTTACTTTTTAAAACTAAATATGGGGCATTCCATTTCAAAACGATCCTCCTTATAAACAATTGACATTGTAAGGCAATTTTTAAACCATTATTTCTTATATTTATTGAAGCCAAACTTTATTTACTATTAGTGGTTTTAAAACAAAAATTTCTCAACTTCATAATGGTAGAAAATTTTTTTTTTAAATAATAGAATTTATGAAAAAAATTAAGTTTGAAAGATAACCTTTTTGAATATCTCAAAACACGTCGCATCCGATTTTCTTGAAACTTATGTCAAAATAAAGCTTAAATATTCTAGTTTAATTCTATGTAAACATTATAATGAGCAATTCTTGGTTTGAGAAATTAATTAAATTTTACAAGTATTTCAAAGGGTATAATGTATGTGCCGAGCGGAATTTTTTTTTCAAATTTTTCCACACTTCAACCTCTGACATCTTTGTAAAATTTAATAAATTTCTTAAATTTCCCTGAATTGACAATTATATTATAAAGTTGAGAAATTTTGATATTATATGTCAAGTTTTTAGAAATTATTGTATAACTTTAATCATTGTAATTTAATAAAAACAATATTTAATTACGTAAATAATGTTATTGATAAACATTTAAATATGTTTTTAAATCCTTTGTGAATATCCGGGAAAATTATTCAAGAACCCGGGAAAAAACCGGGAATTTTAAATTGACGAATCGCTAGACACCCTGCACCCTGTTAAATATATTAATAGAAATATAAACCCGTACGCCATTTGTAGATTTATTTATGGTTAAAATCAAGTAAATTGAAATTTAATGAGAATAGATACACCTAGAAAAATTTTGACAAAACTGGGAAAAACGGTAGGCAGAAATGATAAGAAATTTTCTGTTTTCGTTTATTCTTTTCTCTAATAAATTCTTACAACTTTAAAAAGTGAAAATATTTTAAATTACAATAATGAATGTTTCAACATGACTTAAAAAATATTTGTAATGAGTTCTGCCATAAATTATATACTTTTGAAGACCAAAAAAACATATGAACATTGAGGGATACCACTGACATTTTTGAAAGATTTCACTGATAATTTTTTTTGAATAGTGAGAATAAAATCAGCTTATAAATTACAATCCAGTATCAAATCTTCATTAACTGCATATAAGGAGTAAATTTAACACAATTTTATTAAAAATAAAATAATAAGATGCAAGAAACAGAATTTTGAGGGGACACCACTGACATTTTGCTTCATTTCTCAATTTCGAAAAAAAGACTTTATTTTTAAGTTAAAGTCGTTGCGGTTTTTAAAGTACGTGTAATAACTGAAAATGAGATACAATAATATTTAAAAAATATTAATATTATGAACAATTTTTTGATGGGGACACCACAGACATGGTGTGCTCGACAAAGTGATACTTGCTTTCTGCCACCAACCGTACAAGTTATAGATGTGATAGAATGTTGTAATGTTTTTTCTTTAAGAAGCTATACTATTAACGCTTAATAAGGCAATTGCCTGCACTAGGTTATTTAAATATCAGGTATGATATTCAAAATTTGCGATAATTACTTAAAAATATGAAACTTACGGACAGGCGATTTTGATTTTTTTCTAGCACTGGATCAAAATTATTCTGTTAGCTCAATTACTATATAAAAATATAGACTCTTATCTGTACAACACAATTTTTCTGGTACTAAAAATGTTAGAATCAACAATTTTTATTATTAAGTAAAGTTCTGATTTCTTAAGTGCGGACAAGGGACACCACTGACATTTTGCTTCTAATTCTTCTGCCAAATTTTTTCCGAGAATTTCTAGCGACTAAGAATTATTAATTTAAGTAGAAGAAGTGAGTAAGAAAATTAATTGACTTACAAAACTTTTATATATAAACTATAGTATTCCAAATTTTTAGGCAGGACATGAAAATTACATTTTAATTTTAATCACCCATACATACGTACATACATACTTTAACCATACAATTTACTTTCACAGAAATATCGAACATAAAAAAAAGATCACGAACAAATAGTCACATAAATAATTACAAGATTTCAATTAGAATGACTCGAGCAAATGAAGCAAAAAGACCAAATTAATTCAACAGCATCGACATAAACTTAATACAAAATTATTTAACAAAGAGAGATATCGTTTTATTGACCTTATAATCAATTATCAACAATCAACGTTCGATTAAACGAAGTATCACGATAAACATAAAATAATTTTGTACACACACATACAATAAGACATCATACACACATTCATTCTATACACACATATTCAATTGTACATATATCAAAGAGAGAGGAATAAACGTCATAAAAAATACAATAAAATACGGACCAATGTCAATTGATGTTCGCCGCCCTCGAAAGGTTAATTAGATCGATCGCCTGGATTTGTGGTTTGATCTCAGGTTGGAGATTGACGGTTTATTTCCGTGGTTATGTTAGATGACAATGTTCCCAAGATTTATCCGGAGTAATGACAACTGCATACGCTAAATCGTACAGGTGATTCTTCCAGCAATGTGGTTTTGCAAACAGAAATCCCAATTGTGCATCAAAAATCTCCTAAATCACAACCATCAAAAGCGGAACGATTTTCCCAAATAATTCGCCACTCTATAAGACAAAATAATATTTTACAACCGATCACTCAATATAGATTCAACTTTACACTTTTACCTTATGAGTTCTCGGCGAGATACATAAGCTGTGGCGAAGATCGCTCACTCGACCGAAGGGCGATGAGACATTAGCTATCAAGACGACGAAATATAAAATTCAATCGTCTCTCCCTACTTATTTCTACGTCGGTTCCCGAAGGCATTTTCGAGGCTTTCCGGATCTTTACACTCACATATAGTTTTTCGATATTCTGCCTTTACGCATACTTTAATAACATCTTTCTCTTACTCTCTCATAATACTATATCGCTACAATACATTAAATTTTTTACGAATATTTTTGGAATATCTGATGTCCATAAAAATTTCTCAGAAGAATCAGAAGTAGGATTTGTGTTTAAATCAAAGTTCCCTGAAACACTCCTAGAAGGTACTGAGGGGGGCTCCCCAATATTTGCATTTTTACCTCCAATATGTCTAAGTTAAGATCTGCAAAGAGAAATTTGTTTAAGGTTGCGTATAATAGCAGCTGGATAGAATGGTTTGACAATACCTTGAGCTTCCAGATAAGCATCAGCTTCATCATACCCACATAAATGTTCAAACCTAATTCTCATAACTTCAAACTCGAAAGCATAGCCTGGCCATTTCTTTGAAGAAGCAACATGATTGCCGCCACAATTAGAACATAAGACGGTCCTTAATTTATTGTGGCAATCTTTTTTCTCTTGGAAGTCCGCACAAAATTCACAAATCGGTCTAGAGCTTCTACATTGTCTAGGGATATGTCTAAATCTATGACATGTATATCATCTTATATCGATAGGAATAATTGGTAATACAAAGCAAGCCTACATTCGCAATAAATCCTTTTGCTTCAAAAACTGTCGAATCAACATCAGTATTGGCAATAACGTTACTTATCAGAACGCCAATTGCAATCTTTTTCATTTTTTCCACTTTTTACTTGGAAGATGTTCTCTTCCAGAGAAAATATTCAACAGTATTTGTCTCAGAAAATTGAGAAGCAGGGTTATCGGCTTTTTCTACATCACAGACAATTGAAGCACGATTAACAGTTAATTAAGCTTGCAAAATACTGTGTAACGAGGTGAATCGTTACTTATTTCTCCAAATTTGTCGCGTGTAGGAAAAGTAAATTTCAATATAGTGAATGGATCGTCCGTCTCTCTCTTATCATAGTTTTTTCTTGTTTTCTTGTCAAGTCCCTTGTGTGTGTCCTTGGTTCAGCGACTCGAGAAATGTGTCTTTCGTGAAATCTGAATTTAAATGATTTCGCGCATGATTAATTGTCAGCGACCGTCACATGACCAATGACCCTTTCCAAGACCATTTTAGGTGCTGTACAGTGGGGATAAGGAAGAAGGGTTCTTCATAATTTTCCATAGGAAAAATGAAGAAACAAAATATGATGAGGAAGTCTACCGGTGATAAGGAGATCGGATTTTCACTTGCTTGTCTCTTACTTGCAGAGGTTCAAGTAGTCGCGACGTGATTTTTGACTAGCGTCAATTATCGAAGTTTATTACTTAATATTTTATTTTATATTTTGTTGTTTAATTTAAAGTTTATTTCTTTTTAATTAATAAATGAGTTTTATTTTGTTAATTGAGAGTTTTAAGTGTTTTATTTATATTTTTGTTGTTGTGTTGTAAACGGTTGAGAGTGCCACAGACGTTATAATTTGGTAGCGTGGTTATTTATTTTAAAAGGAAGGGTTTGTTGTCAGAAGTTGTTTTTACGTCGCAGCTAGAAGAAGAGGAACTCCCCGGTGAGCTTTTGTGGAGATTTGTTGTGGTGAAGATAGTTTTTCGAATAGCGGGTTGTGATGTAAATTTGTGATGTATTATTTTCTATGAAAAATTCGATATTGCAAATTATACCCTTATAAATGGCGCCCAACGTGGGGCAGTTTTTTCTTCTTTGACCGGACCATGAATGACCTTTTTGATATAAGTTGACCGTGCTAAGACCAAGCCCAAGCCCAGTTAGACCAAAAAATGACCCTTAGACAGCATGATCGACCGTTGTAGTGATTGTAGTGTGTTAAAGAGAAGATAGTTTGGCAGCTGACTGCCGTTTTCCACCGCGCGATAAGTTTTTAGTGCAATTAGTTTTTACAAAAGAAATAATATTTTTGAGAAATTGAATTCACGAGATTTGTACTGTTTTTAAAATGACCGTGTGTCAAGCTACCAGATAGACAGATGGCGTGTCAAGTGAGATTAGTTGGTATGTGAGAATTGTGGGGGTGAGTAATAATTAGTCTGATAATTATTATGAGACTCTTGATGATATAGTTGTTGAAGTGGATTAAAATTATTTTCCCTGATTTTTGTGTTCCGGGAGAATTAATTAATTTGATAATTTGTGTAGTTTTGTAAAAGATAAGTTCAAGTTTTATGAGAGGATTGTTCTAGGCCTGATTTTTGAAGAGAAGACAGTTTTTGAAAAGCGAATGTGTTTAGGGATTTTTAGTTAGTGAAGTCTGTTCTTTGATTGTGGTAGCAATTCTTTAAATGAGAATTTGTCCTTCCTGATTTGAGACCGATCTATTGTTCCCTTGGAGCAAAGACCTACCCGCTCTTTCGATCAGCGACTGTAGTACAGCATTTGACCACCCCTCCCCCCTATCACCCCCAGGCAAATACTTGTATTTTACGTTTTTTTTAGTTACGTTAAATTGAGCTTCAGGAAATTTGCTAAAAACTGATGCGAACCTTTTGTTAATATAAAAAAAGAGAAAAAAAAGATGGAAACAGAACTGTAATTCTAGTAAGAGAAAGAAAAAACATTGTTCTTTTTTTTTAACTTATGCTTGTACAGTAGAACGTACGAATGCCTTCCCCCTGAAGTTGCTGCAGAAAAATGATAATTTATTGTCAAACTTGAGTTTCTATATCCCATGCCTAAAAAATTGACGTGTGTTTTGATGTCATCGTTGGTCATCGTTGTAAACATTAAACAGTTTAATGTTTACCATTACATTAAAGTTAAAAATACATTAAAATTTTTAAAAAATGGTAATGAATGGTGAAAAAAAGTTAGTGATTAAAGTGAGGTGACAAATATTTTTATATTGGTAAGTAAAAAAAATGTTTTGTAATAAGAAAACAAATCTAAAAAGTGGTTATGTTAAAAAAAAAAAGAATTTTACATAAAGCTTCTTTTAATTCATTGATTCAATAAATAATTTAAATATGGAAACAAATTAAATAATTAGTTATTAAAAAAATATAAATATAAACTAGGAAATTTTTTTTTCAATTCATAACCTTTAAAAATAATAGAATGAAAATTTTTATTAAATAAATTTTTATAACTTTTTCTGCATTGAATATTTTTATCTTTTTTTAAAAATAAGAATCAATTTCTCGTGTTTTACACTAATCAAAAATGTTTCTCTTTTTCATTGAGAAATTTTTTTGATATACGGAAAATTAAATTAAATCTGTTTTGATAAAAAAATAAAAATTACTATTAGAATGAAATTAAATTAATAATTAAATTGCTCTATTAGAAATTGCTATTTTTAAATTAGCTTTCACTATTTTTGAAAAAAATTTCTTTAATAAAAATTCGAAAATTTTTCCTCAAAAGTAGTAAAATTTAATCTGTAAATAATAATTTTTTAATAATAAATTGTAGAACGCTGGAATTTGTTTTTATTCTATTAAAATATTCTTTTCTTATTTTTATTTAAATAACAAAAAAAATTTCAGCATCAGTATAAAAGTTTCATGAAGCGGCCGAATTAATTGATCATAGGAAAATTGTATAAAGAAAACAATGTAGGGACAATTTTCATCATTGCATCAACAATTTTCCAAAAATGAAGCACTACCTATTCGTGGCACGCGAGGTTGTCAAATGCGAAAAATGCGTTGTCCTTGGTTTTCAATCCTGGGCGAAGCACGTACCCTAGAACAATTGGAACGAAATGATGGCGAATTGTCTCTTCTGCAAAGTAAGCTTTTCATAATTTTTTCTTAAGTGTTTAAATTTTTAATTTCTCTCATCGGATCTTACCTTCATCCTGTCAGATTTTCAAATTTCATAAGCATTTCTTCTTATTGATTGCATTTTTTTAAAACAGAGGAGAATGCCATCATTGATGGGAGAAACATTTCCCCGCACCAAAACGGAACCGAATGTGTTATATAACTGGTGATTTGCACCAGACTCAGAGTGTAGCTGAAATTGAGTTGATCTGGCGGTGGTTCGAGCCCTTCATTGAAGAACGGAATTTCAGAGAAGAATCGAAATGGAATTGGAATTTAAATTAACATGCCGCAAAAGTGAAAAGAACAATAAATTCGCCATTAGTGACTCTGACGTAGGACTCTCAAGACGAGTCACTTTTGAAATTTGCAAGATTTTTTAATAAAAAATAAATTTTTGGGACCAAGAAAATGATTTTTAAATGTCATTTTTATCAATTTTTCGCATATAAATCTAAGTGCCCCTGGAGACGAAAGTTCAAATGAGTTCTTTGGCTTGCTGATTATTTGCCTGCTCGATTTTATCTCTCAAGACGAATCACTTTTGATATTTGCAAGAGTTTTTAATGAAAAATAAATTTGTGGGACCAAAAAAATGATTTTTATTTGTCTTTTTTTTCAATTTTTCACTTAAAATGTAAGTTTCCCAGGAGACGTAATTTAAAATAAGTTCTTTGGCTTGCTGATTATTTGCCTGCTCGATTTCATCTTTCAAGACGAATCACTTTTGACATTTGCAAGATTTTTTAATAAAAAATAAATTTTTGGGACCAAAAAAATTATTTTTATTTGTTTTTTTTTTTCAATTTTTCGCTATAAATGTAAGTGTTCCAGGAGACGTTAGTTGAAGTAAGTTCTTTAGCTTGCTAATTATTTGCTTGCTCGATATCATCTTTCAAGTCGAGTCACTTTTGAGATTTGCAAGAGTTTTTAATAAATAATAAATTTTTGAGACCAAAAAAATGATTTTTATTTGTCTTTTTTTCAATTTTTCACTTAAAATGTAAGTTTCCCAGGAGACGTAATTTAAAATAAGTTCTTTGGCTTCCTGATTATTTGCCTGCTCGATTTCATCTCTCAAGACGAATCACTTTTGACATTTTTAAGATTTTTTAATAAAAAATAAATTTTTGGGACCAAGAAAATGATTTTTAAATGTTATTTTTATCAATTTTTCACTATAAATGTAAGTGTCCCTGGAGACGAAAGTTCAAATGAGTTCTTTGGCTTACTGATTATTTGCCTGCTCAATTACATCTCTCAAGACAAATCACTTTTGATATTTGCAAGAGTTTTTAATAAAAAATAAATTTTTGGGACCAAGAAAATGATTTTTAAATGTTATTTTTATCAATTTTTCACTATAAATCTAAGTGTACCTGGAGACGACAGTTGAAATGAGTTCTTTGGCTTGCTGATTATTTGCCTGCTCGATTTTATCTCTCAAGACGAATCACTTTTGATATTTGCAAGAGTTTTTAATAAATAATATATTTTTGTGACCAAGAAAATGATTTTTAAATGTTATTTTTATCAATTTTTCACTATAAATCTAAGTGTCCCTGGAGACGAAAGTTCAAATGAGTTCTTTGGCTTACTGATTATTTGCCTGCTCAATTACATCTCTCAAGACAAATCACTTTTGATATTTGCAAGAGTTTTTAATGAAAAATAAATTTGTGGGACCAAAAAAATGATTTTTATTTGTCTTTTTTTTTCAATTTTTCACTTAAAATGTAAGTTTCCCAGGAGACGTAATTTAAAATAAGTTCTTTGGCTTGCTGATTATTTGCCTGCTCGATTTTATCTTTCAAGACGAATCACTTTTGACATTTGCAAGATTTTTTAATAAAAAATAAATTTTTGGGAGCAAGAAAATGATTTTTAAATGTTATTTTTATCAATTTTTCACTATAAATCTAAGTGTACCTGGAGACGACAGTTGAAATGAGTTCTTTGGCTTGCTGATTATTTGCCTGCTCGATTTTATCTCTCAAGACGAATCACTTTTGATATTTGCAAGAGTTTTTAATGAAAAATAAATTTGTGGGACCAAAAAAATGATTTTTATTTGTCTTTTTTTTTCAATTTTTCACTTAAAATGTAAGTTTCCCAGGAGACGTAATTTAAAATGAGTTCTTTTGCTTGCTGATTTTTTGCCTGCTCGATTTCATCGCTCAAGACGAATCACTTTTGACATTTGCAAGATTTTTTAATAAAAAATAAATTTTTGGGACCAAGAAAATGATTTTTAAATGTCATTTTTATCAATTTTTCGCTATAAATCTAAGTGTCCCAGGAGTCGTAAGTTGAAATGAGTTCTTTTACTTTTTGATGAATGTTCTGCTCGATTTCATCTCTTAAGACGAATCACTTTTGAGATTTGCAAGAATTGTTAATGTAAACTAAATTTTTTGGACCAATAAAATGATATTTAAAAGCCTTTTTTCAATTATCCGCTATAAATTTGTCCATGGAGACGAAAGTTGAAATGAATTCTTTGGTTTTGTGATTAATTCCCAGCTTTTTATGAAACTCGACTCGGCCTGAGCTCGGCATGAATAGTGAAATGCTCGAAAATACTCGATCGAGCTTCGAGCTTTTTGCACACCTCTAATTTTTTTATAAAATTTCCGCTCACTTTTCGGTACGAATTCCGCTAGTAATTCGTGTTTATTACTAGCGGATTTTTATACAAAATTATTTAAAAATTTCTTTTGGAATTGCGAATGGAAATACGGATGTAACATCTACTGAAAATTTTTTTAGAACAATTTCCCCTCTCTTTTCCGTATGAATTCCGTTAGTACTTCGTATGTATTATTACAAATTTTTAATTTTGAATTAAATTCATTGGTAATGCACACAAATTTCTAGCAGAATTCGTACGGAAAAGAGAGCGGAAATTGTTCAAAAAAATTTTTCAGCAGATATTACGTACGGATTTCCATTTGCAAATCCAAGCGGAATTTTTGCAAAAATTTGAATAAAAATCCACTAGTAATACGCACGAAGTACTTGAGGAATTGGAACCGAAAAGTGGACGACAATTTATCCAAAAATATTTTTAGCTGATATTACTTACGGAATTCCATTCGCAATTCCTAACGGAATTTTTCAAATGTTAAATAAAAATTCTTTATCATTTCACATGAAATTCGTACGAAAAAGTGACCAGAAAATCTTTTAAAAAAATATTGGATCCGCCATTTTGAATTTTGAAAAACTAACATCAGATTTGTTATCAGCGAACGCGAAAACTCCCGAGTAACTAGCTTTAAGCGAAATAGATTAATTATTAACTTTATCGTCGGCCATATTAGATCCGTCATTTTGAATTTTAAAAAACTAACATGGGATTCGTTAATCAGCGAACACGGAAACCCCCGAGTAACGAGTTTATTTATTAACTTTTATTGAAAGTTTATTTTTTTCAATATTTGCGGTGCGTCCAATAATTGTGTGAGAAAAGCAAACAAAGCAGTTTCACCGATTTGAGCAATTTTTGAAAAGAACCTGTTCTTTCATATCGCCTTTTTCTCTGAGATCAAGTCACCTAAACTCTTTCCCGAGAACCTTCTGCGCAGTCCAAAGATCATGAAAAATGATGGTTCGGAGCTAAACGAATAACGCTTTTTTAGTATGATTTCTGAGCGAATTCAGTATGTTTTCATACTAAAAACTCACGACAGAGGGCATTCGAAGCGCATTAAATATTTCAATACCATTTAATGCAAAAATTTCTCTTAGTGCAGGTTTAAGTGGTTTAACATCCGACTTTTTAAAAAGTAGGATATATTTATCTTATAATAAAACTATTTTTTCTAAATGCAAATATTATTTAATACGTAATTGACTTTTAACTATTTCAATTATTGTATTATTTCCTTTTTTATTAGTAAGGTTAACTAACTAGAAGATGTCTGTTACAATATTTATTAGTTATTGGCATAACAGAAATAAGTTTCCCTCACTAATAAAATGCTAACTGCGACAACCTAACTTTCTACAAAAATAAATTGTATCTCTAACCATCGAATTAGCCGCAGTATAGTTTACTAACCAAAATGGTATTTCTATCCATTTTATTAGTTGCCTTGACTACTTCGTTGTCTCAGTGTAAGAGAGAAAATCAATTAGAGTGAAAGAGACAGTAAATTCAAATTTCTACCCGCGTGGTAATGAAAAAATTAGCAAATTCAACTTTGGTTAAAATATGGGCAAAGTATAGCAGGAAAAAAATCGATTTTTTTTCTACCATACTTTGCCCATGTTTTTGCTAAATTTGAAAATAGTAATTTTTTCATTATCAAAAATAGGAATAAATCGATTTTTTTCTCCCATACTTTGCCCATGTTTTTGCCAAAGTTGAAAATAGTAATTTTTTCATTACCAAAAATAGGAATAAATCGATTTTGCTTTCTCCCATACTTTGCCCATGTTTTTGCCAACGTTGAAAATAGTAATTTTTTCATTACCAAAAATAGGATAAAATCGATTTTTTTTCTCCCATACTTTGCCCATGGTTTTGCTAAAGTTGAAAATAGTATTTTTTTCATTACCAAAAATAGGAATAAATCGATTTTTTTCTCCCATACTTTGCCCATGTATTTGCCAAAGTTGAAAATAGTAATTTTTTTATTACCAAAAATAGGAATAAATCGATTTTTCTTTCTCCCATACTTTGCCCATGTTTTTGCCAAAGTTGAAATTCCTAACTTTTTTTTTCCAAAAATAGGAAACTATCGTTTTTTCCTTCTCCCATACTTTGCCCATGTTTTTGCCAAAGTTGAAAAAAGTATTTTTTTCATTACCAAAAATAGTAATAAATCGATTATCAATTTCATAGTTTTAGGTTATTCTTGACTTTTCTACCTTTTCCTTTTTTTTCTGAGATAGTGACAATTTAAACTAATCGAAAATATCAAAATTCCTTACAGTTCAAGTGACCTTTGATATTTAAAAAATTATCAAAATTATCAATTTCATAGTTTTAGGTTATTCTTGACTTTTCTACCTTCCCCTCTTTTTTCTAAGCTAGTGACAATTTAAACTAATCGAAAATATCAAAATTCCTTACAGTTCGAGTGACCTTTGATATTTAAAAAATTATCAAAATTATCAATTTCATAGTTTTAGGTTATTCTTGACTTTTCTACCTTCCCCTCTTTTTTCTGAGCAAGTGACAATTTAAACTAATCTAAAATATCAAATTCCTGACAGTTCGGGTGATCTTTCATAGTTAAAAAATAATAAAAATTATCAATTTCATAGTTTTAGGTTATTCTTGACTTTTCTACCTTCCCCTCTTTTTTCTAAGCTTGTGACAATTTAAACTAATCGAAAATATCAAAATTCTTTCTAGTTCAAGTGACCTTTGATATTAAAAAAATTATCAAAATTATCAATTTCATAGTTTTAGTTTATTCTTGACTTTTCTACCTTCCCCTCTTTTTTCTAAGCTAGTGACAATTTAAACTAATCGAAAATATCAAAATTCCTTACAGTTCGAGTGACCTTTGATATTTAAAAAATTATCAAAATTATCAATTTCATAGTTTTAGGTTATTCTTGACTTTTCTACCTTC